CGGGTCTCTTTTTTTGGGGGGGGGGGGAGGAGCCCCCGTGGACAAAAAATTAATTTAAGTCCTGCGTCTTAGGGCCCTTGGTGTGGTCCAGGGGGCAGAGCCCCCGGAAGCTCAGGGGTTTTAGGTATTTAATTAAGGTCAGATGAGCATCCAGGGGCCGCCTTAGGGCCCTTGGTGGGATCCAGGGGGCAAAGCCCCGGAAGCTCAGGGGTTTGAGGTATTTAATAACGGTCAGATGAGCTTCCAGGGGCCCGCCTTAGGGCCCTTGGTGTGGTTCAGGGGCAGAGCCCCCATGAGCTCTGGGGTTTTAAGCCTTTAATTACGGTCAGATGAGCATTTTTATACCTTATTTGTGACATTAGCAGGTCACTTATTTTTTTCTCCGTCTTTCTTTTATTTCTTCTCTTTAACATACTTTTTTTCAAAAAGGAGGGGGGGGGGGGCTCGAGCCCAGCCACTTTGCAGAGAATGACACAAAGGCTTCTATAAATTAGCGTATTTCGCCTGACTGTAATTTCGGAATTTCTTATTTTCCAACAAACGCATAAAAAGGTAAGACTTACAAAAAAAATGGAAAAAAAAATGCCGGAAGATCATGTCACAACATCAAAATTAAGAAATACATACCCCCCCCCCCTTCCCTCCATCAGCGTTCAGAGGCTCATGTCTTCTCATTCCTATAACAAAAAACTTTCCCATTCTCGCATAATATGTCCACGATATGCGTGTATTGCTATTATAGAGACCTCCATTGATAAATACCGTATACACTGTAGGTGACATGCGCAATGTTTATGAAATTTAATTCCTGTGAACTTTCCTTTTCTTTGAATGGAATTGTACAGTGCGTCCCAGAAAAAACGAAACCGAGAAGTATCGATGTTCTATCATAACTCAATCACAACTATAATTAATGAATGATACATATTTGGAAAGCTTAGAGTCTCCTCTTTCAGTTGATGCTATTCAGATGATGTATATTTCACGCATGAGTGATTAAAAGCAATTTGAAGGAAGGAAACTAAAAGGCATTTGGCGGGCGGTATCTGAATTTCGAAGAAAAAATCACATTTCTAGAAAGTTGATTTTCTGCCCTTTCATATGACACCTCAATCAGGAAAAATGAGCGAGGAATGACAAAGTTCTGTTTGTTTAAAGTAGTGCTTGCATTTCCATAATTTTATTGAACGAATTCGTTTTCACTGGCTGCCTGCCGTATCAATAAACGAAATTAACAAAAGACTTAACTCCGTTTCGTTGACAATCAGCCGTAGACGAGAGTCTTCATGCATAGCTGATTGTTAACGAAACAGAGTTAAATCTTTTGTCAAATCGGTTTTTTCCAATGGGGTTCATTCCAATTCACAAAAGATGCAATGTGGAATACCGCAGAGGTCAAATATTGGCCCATTGTTATTCATCCTGTTTATTAATGATATGCCTTTATGTCTGAAAACATGTAAAATATCTTTATATGCTGATGATATGTGTCTATATTACGCTAGTGCAAATCATCAAACTCTTACTGAATCATTAAATGCAGACTTATTACTTATTGATATTTGGTTAAAAAGGAACATACTTGCTTTAAATGTGCCAAAATGTGAATTACTTTTTATTGGAACGAAGAAACGGCTAAAAAATATTGTAGTACCAGATGTTTACATACAAAATGTTCCTCTCAAACGTGTAACCCACCGTAAGTATCTTGGAATAGTTATTGATGAACATTTGGATTGGGGTAAACATATTTAATATTTAAGAAAGAAGGTATTAACAGATATAAATTTGTTGAAAAGACTTAGACCATATGTTACACAGCAAACTGCACTTATATTTTATAAATCAGTAATTAAATGTATATAAGTTTGATTACTGTAGTGCAATTTGGGGGAATGCCGGAAAAGGAAGTTTAGACAGTTTGCAAAAGCTACAGAATAGGACACTCCGGGTGGTAATTCAAGTTGAATGGAGGTTCCCAAGCCGAGATTTAAAACGGAGAGATGAACATGTTCTATGTATTTTGTATAAAATAGTGCATGAAATGATATATGGTGGGTTTAGAAAGTACTTTTTTTTATTAAAGAATATCATTATGGCTTGAGAAATGCTTATAAAACCTTAGAACTGCCAAAACCACATATGAATTTAAAAAAGGAACTTATGTTATAGAGGCATTAAATCTTCGAATCAGCTACCTATGAACGTACAAAATATGTCTTTCTCTGTATTTAAATCAAGGGTAATATGAATATTAATTTTATATTTTGTTCGCTTAAATATCTATTTATATAACTATAACATCTAAAATAAACGCTGTCTGGAAAGGGGGGGGGGGGGGGGGCTTGGTAGTAGTATCTTGGTTTGTAAATTTTCATTTTTCTTTGTATACTTATGTTTTTTGCTTTTGTTTTTGTGTTTTTAATATTCCATATGCTATGATATGTGTTATCTTATAATTGTACATGTAATTTTTATATTGCGCACGGACCAACAGAAGAACAGCCTTTGGCTGAAGTTGGTGCCGTGCAAAAATAAAATAAACTGAACTGAAACTGAACTGAGTGAGAGAGAGAAGGGGTAGGAAAAGAGGGGAGAGAGGGGAGAGAGGGAAAGGACAGAGACTTGCCGTAACCATGAAAACGATCATAATCACAAACCCTGCAATTAGTGTAGAATCAAATGTGTGACGTTACTTGCGCCCCCCCCCCCCACCCCTATATTTTCCTTTATAAGTTATATAATTATTGCAAATATGTTTTTATACAACTCCTCACTCCTGTATGTAATATAAATTCCGTCATAATTGACAAGTTTCAAGTTTATAAAATGTGTTGTACAGAGCAAATTGAATAGGAGCTCTCATGATAAGTCACAGTGTTGCCAATTTGTCTTTAACTAATGACAACTTCAAATCTTCATGACCTTCCTATTTCTAATCGGATTTTGCTCGAACTTTCACTAATATGTTTCACTCATTTTTATGGAACTTAACAAAAGGGTGGACTTCGCTTTTAAAAGGTGGAGTTTTATCACAGAGCGAAGGTAAACTCTAAAAACAATTGTATAAACAGCAGGTGCTGTGGTCTAGTGGTACATTAACTCGCACCCATAGGCGCCGGAAGAAGGGGGGAAGGGAAGGCGCCCCCCCCCCAACCAACAAAATGAGAGGGAAACGCATTCTCGCCCCCCCCCCTCCACAAAAAAGCAGTAAAAGAGTACAGATTGTTTGTATTTTTTAACCAAAAAGAACATAACAAATAATAAAACCTGAATTGAACCACATATCAATTGGTTGACTTCAGAAAAAAGGAAAGTTAACAGGAATTAAATTTCCTATACATTCTGCATGCCCCTAGATTTATCAATGGAGGTTTTTATAATAGCGATACGCGTATATCGTGGAAATATTGTGAGAGGATGGGAAAGCGTGTTTGTTTTTATTGTAGGGGTGAGAAGAAATTAGCCCCTGAACACTGGCGTACTAATAGGAGGTTCTAATTCGATACCAGTGATTTACAAATGTTCCTGAAATGACATGATTTTCCGGTATTTTTTTCATTTTTTTTTGTAAATCATACCTTTTCACCCATCGAGGGCCCTAAGGCGGGCCCCTCGATGCTCATCTGACTGTAACTACATACCTAAAACCCCTGAGCTTCCGGGGGCTCTTCCCCCTGGACCTAACCAAGTGCCCTTAGGCGAGCCCCTGAATGCTCATCTGACCGTAATTAAATAAATAAAACCTCTGAGGTTTCGGGGGCAAAGCCCTTGGACCCCACGCCAATTTACGCTCCACTCGCTTCGCTCGCTACGCTCTACCTGTTCGTTACTACTCCACTTTTAAAAATGTCCCGTGGGGCCTGCATGTAAGAGTGGTGGTGATGCAGATTTTTCTTCTGTCCCCCCCCCCCCCAAAAAAAAAAAAACGTCTCTGCTCATTACGCCACTGCCCCAGGAAGGTGAGCCAGCGTGGCCGGTGAAAAAAATACAAATATGGTAGGGTAGCAGCGAAAATTATGCTAAATCGCCAAATTTTATGCCCAACCCCCAGACATCGAATTTGTAAGGAAATATCTGGCGCCGACTCAGCAAGCCGCTGAATAAGCGGGAGTGGGGGGAGGGGGGGGGGGGGTAGTAAGAAGCAATTTTTTAGGAAATATTTCGCGCCGACTGCGCCAGCCGCTGAATAAACGAGGGGGGGGGGGTAGTAAGAAGCATTTAAGGGAGAAATATGTTGGAAAATGTATGCAAATTGTGCTAAAAATGCTCAAATTATGCCAGAATTTTGCTAAAAATCGCCAAATTATGCCAGGCATAATGCCAGATACTAAAAGGGACAAAATTATGCCTGAAAGCATAATTATGCCAGATCTGGCAACTTGAGGTGAGCACCCTGGAATGTTGCCCCCCATCCCCCCCCCCCCCCTAATCCGAAACTGCTTCCGGCGCGCCTGCTCGCACCTCATTCCTAGGATAAAGGGTTGACATCCCAGCCCGGCATTTGACAAGACATTAATCCGCATTTGCAACTCTCCACCAAGATGTAAATGGGAACCTAGCTTTCGCTGGAGTAATAATTGCTGGGCCCTCAGAAAGACCAGTATTGATGCTGATGAAGCTTCCTTTGGTTAAAATTGAATATTATGCTCCTTCTTCTTCTTTTTTTTTCTTTTTCTCCTTCTTTTTTTTATTCATCTTCTTCTACTTCTCACCATCATCATCATTATCATCATCATAATCACCATCATCATCCTCATCATCATCATCATCATCATCATTTTCATCGTCAACGGTGGTGGTGGTGGAAGTAGTAGTAGTAGTAGTAGTAGTAGTAGTAGTAGTAGTAGTAGTAGTAGGAGTATTAGTAGTGGTGGTGCTGGTAGTAGTAGTAGTAGTAGTAGTAGTAGTAGTAGTAGTAGTAGTAGTAGTAGTAATAGTAGTAGTAGTAGAAATACATTTAGTACAAACAAAAGAAGGGTAAATTATTTCCTACTTACATTGGGTACGGGAGTAATTATGTTGCACACGGTGTCTTCTACAACAGATTTATTTCCAATCGTCCCGGTGAATCGTCCATTGTAGCCACATCTTGTTGGGCAAGTATCCCTTGCTCGTCTCAATACATTCACAGCCTCGGCTGGATGGACGAGACTTGCACGAACGAAGGTTTTCCCGACCCATCGTAATGTGAACGATGCCTAAATGTGGTGTCAGATGAGAGATAAAAGATGGCATATATCGTAATACATTTGTACAGAAGAAATACGATCGCATAAACTTTCGAAAAATTATTCCAAGGCAATTCCAATGACCTTACACGTCACCAATTAAAATGTGCTAATGTTAGTCCCTATTGGCGCTGAACATAATCTGTTCTTGATTTGTCTCGGATATAGAATAATTGAAAGTACACCTGATTTGATTTCGATATGAGGAGATAGCGCGACAAGATTATTATAAGAAGAAGGGGGGGGGCATCATTTCTTTTTACGAACCTTGTACTTGCCATCTCCAAGATAAGAAACTTCTCCATCGGCAGATGCACCGGCTTTAAGGTCATTATTGTAGATCCTGACCCGGATATAATCTCCTCCGTTTACTTTTAATTGATTCTTACTGTCTCTGGCCTCGATGATGACATCCAGACGATCACATATTTGGTATTTCCTTGAGGCATCGATGATGTAATACGTAGAATTCTTATCGCTCGTAACACCAGCGGTTTCCTTAAAGAAATAAATGAAAATAAAAGCATTTATTATGATAAACAATAATTGTAATATCAATAATGATAATGATAAGAATAATAATGATAATAACTATATCAAAAAATGATAATAATCATTATTACCTAGGGTTGGTCAATTCTGCTGGCCCTGCAATCATCATTACCCTAGCAATCGCCAGGTAGCTATTCAAACCTGAGTGCTATTTTTGGAAACGATCAAACAATTTTCCTAAAGAGTACTGCGTATAATGTTTTTGCAATTCCAATTAAATAATGACAGGGCCCATTTACAACACATTTGATGCATGAGACGGATAAAGGCGTAATCTTTAAATTTTGTCCATTTTGGGCCACTTTTCGAAGCCTTTCTTTCGCCCTTAGGGCTACCTATTTCCTATTTCCACTATCACAGAAGCTACAGACTTCTCACAAATTGCTCTGGATAGTCTGAGAGAAGTTCTTTCGTTTGACACGTAGTAACATGGGCGTCATTGCACGCAAAACGCTTTGACACGATTGCATTTCTGGTTCTTAGAATTATTATTACTATTCTTCAATCTTATCCTTATTTTTATAGTTATCTTTTGTAATACGTCATATGCCCAGGTTTTACTACTGTACTTCATCAAAGATGTCTTCCCAAAACTCTTAATTCGCTGCTAAAATATTATCAAGAGAAAAAAGGAAACATTGGAATAAATATTTGTTAAATAAAGTAATATCTAAAGAAGATCAAAATTAAGAATAAGGCGGAATATGAAATAGAAAAAAAAACATAAAGTAGAATATAGATCATATTAAAGATAAAGTTGAGTTCTGGTCATGCAATTGCATTGTGAAAGAAACGGTTGGGAATCGATCAGAAAAAGTTGATCATGTAGCATAAGTATTGGTGTGCACTGCAAGGTTTTGGAATAATCAAAATGAGGAGACATTGTCAATACATGTGTTTATCAAAATGACATGAAAACATTGGTTTACTCACGGGTCTCGAAATATTGAGGTGTGGAGTTGTTTGTTGGACGGTAGAAGCGTAATGTCCTCTAGTACTAGTAGATCCAAAGACCTGTTGGAATATGAAAACAAATATTAATTCTAACATTGAGAACTGGTCAAGCTTTACAAATGTGTCTTATTTATTAATTATAATTCTGATTAAGTTATGATAAAATATCAATAATTATTGGTTTCGTTTTTTCTAGGACGCACTGTTTATAATATATAGTTCGCTGATAACACCATTTTCGGCGGCTTGAATCAATAAGCCAGTTCGTAATTGCATAGTGCGCATGTGCCAAAATCTGGAACGAACTTTTCCAAATGTAACATGAACATATTAAGAGAGTTGAGAGAGCAATCGCGTTACCAGGTGGGGGTTCTTGGGGTGTGCTATGTTAATAATTATTATTATAACTATTATTATTGTTGGTGGTTTTTGTATTCTTTTAATTATCAAGATTATTATAGTCATTATTATGAGGTGGGCTGTATAAGGTACATACCACCTTATAATTTCGTTAGAATTGCCTTTATTTATTTATTATTCTTTATTTTTCTTATTTCGAACCACTTTTTTGTAAGCACGATTACTTAAAAATGGCTCAATCAAATGCATTCAAATTTGGTACACATATGTATAGGCATATGTACAACGCACAATAACGTTTTCAACATTGACCGTCACTGATGACGTCATCTAGGCGCCATTTTGTAAAAGTTTATGAAAATCAACTCATGATCATATCTTCATAACCAAAGGTTATTTCTCATTCATATTTATCATGATCAAGGTCAATATCCGTCCGGTCAATTGCAGGTCAAATAACGCGCGCGTGTGCGTACGTCCGCGCGTCAATGCGCGTGCAAAATTTTGAAATGCTGAAAATCGTCTCAAAATAATTTTGCATACGTTTTAGGTCATTCTAAGCATTTTATAAAAAATCGCGCACACACGCATGCGCGCGCGTTTTTCGCGCGTAAAACTAAACACAACTTAGAATCGCCATTTTTTTTCTTTCATGATATTCCACATATTTTTACAAACAAATTGATACTATTTTTTTATCTCTTTATGACAATTAATAACGGAATGATCGAACGTTTGACATAAATTTCCGTGCGCGTGAGCTCTTGTAATACATAGCATATATTGGAAAAATCATGCCTATGCAAATATCCATTATAGCTCTTTGTGATGCACCGGGGCCCTCAATTTTTTCATATTTAGATAGAGGATGAGTCGGAGATATGATTTCATGTCTCATATGGCCATTAAGTGTATCGTGACATCATCATAATGGCCTTCGAACTCAAAATACGAATTTGCATATTATGACGTCAGCATATTTATGGAAAATCGATTGTATCTCTGTAAATATTGCTCAATTTTCTTCCAAATTTCGATATGGTGTAGCTAAGACAATTCTCTACAAATTTTGATTCACGATTTTTCATTTCGACAAAAGCATCATGGCGTATTTTTTGCGATTAAAGGAGGAATGTCAATTTTTCACATTTTGCGTGTATTCTCTATGGGACATGATTTTTTTTCTCAAAACTCGATTCTACATTCCCGTCTTTCGCGAGCAATATCTTTGTCGTTTAAGCTTCATTTAGGCTGAACTTTGAGTATGTTGTAGCTGAGACAACAAGCTATCTCAAATGTGCCCTTTATTTTGTCTCAAATTTTAATTGGACCAGCCCACCTATACTTGTTCCAAACAAGTATTACAAATCTAGTCAGGTGGGCTGTATAACGTACAGACCACCTTATAATTTCGTAAGAGTTGCCTTTATTTATTTATCAGATGGGATGTATAACGTACAGACCACCTTATAATTTCGTTAGCATTGCCTTTATTTATTTATTTGTTATTTATTTATTTTTCTTATTTCTAACCGCTTTTTTGTAAGCACGGTGACTTGAAAATGGCTCAATCACATGCCTTCAAATTTGGCACACATATGTACAAAGCACAATAACGTTGTCAACATTGACCTTTACTGATGACGTCATCTAGGCGCCATTTTGTAAGATTTTACGAGAATCAACTCATGATCATATCTTCATAACCAAAAGGTATTTCTCATTCATATTTATCATGATCAAGGTCAATATCCGTCCAGTCAATTGCAGGTCAAAGAACGCGCGCGTGCGCGTTCGTCCGCGCGTCAATGCGCGTGCAAAATTTTAAAATGCTCAAAATCGTCTAAAAATCATTTTGCATACGTTTTAGGTCATTCTAAGCATTTTATAAAAAATCGCGCACACGTGCATGCGCGCGCGTAATCGCGCGTAAAACTATTACACAACATAGAATCGCCATTTTTTTTCTTTCATAATATTCCACATATTTTTACGAACAAAATGATACCATGTTAATCTCTTTATGACTATTAATAACAGAATGATCGACCGTTTAACATAAATTTCCGTGCGCGCGAGCTCTTGTATTACATAGCATATATGGGCAAGAACTTGCCTATACAAAATCCATTGTAGCTATTTAGGATGCAAGGTGACGCCAATTTTGTTTTCATATTTTGATAGATAATGAATTGGAGATATGATTTCATGTCTCATTTGACCCTCAATTAACTCATGACGTCATCAAAATGGCCTCCGAACTCAAAATTCCAATTTGCATATTATGATGTCAGCATATTTTTGGATAATTGATTGTATCACTGTAAATATTGATCGATTTTCTTCTTAATTTTGATATGTTCTAGCTGCGACAATTTTCTACAAACAAATGTCTACTATTGTTCATTTCGACAAAGGCATCATGGCGTTTTTTGCGATTGAAGGAGGCATGTCAATTTTTCACTTTTTGCGTGTATTCTCTATAGGACATGACTTTGTCTCAAAACTGGATTCTACATTTCCGTCTTTCGCGAGCAATATCTCCGTCGTTTTAGCTTCTTATGGAAAATTGATTGTATCTCTGTAAATGTTGATCGATTTTCTTCCAAATTTTCATATGTTTTAGCTGAGACAATTTTCTACAAATGCAGTGACCACGATATTTCATTTTGACAATGGCATCATGGCGTATTTTTGCGATTAAAGGAGGCATGTCAATTTTTCACATTTTGCGTGTATTCTCTATGGGACATGACTTTTTCTCAAAACTGGATTCTACATCCTGTCTTTTGCGAGCAATATCTCCGTCGTTTTAGCTTTGTTTACGCTGAACTTTGAGTATGTTGTAGCTGAGACAATAAGCTATCACTAGTGTGCCCTTTATTTTTCGATCAGATACCGGGATCATGCTCATATTTCAATTACAAAGTGGGATTTGTGCATTCCATTTTCCGTTTACGTGTAATCTCTATGGGAAATGTTTTGGTATATCGGTAACGCACTTGACTTCCGACCTCGAGGTCCCTGGTTCGAGTCCGGGCGTCACCAACAATTTTTTTCTTCACTTTTTTTTCTTTTTGACCATTCACTCTACCATCTCCTTTGAATATTAAAACACGTACAATCGCAAATAATGTAATAAACAACCATATTTACTTTATTATTACCCTATTATCACTTGATCCATTACTTTTTGCGTGTAATCCTTATGGGAGATGACTTTTTCTCAAATCAGGATTCTACATTCTTGTCTTTTGCGAGCAATATCGCCGTTATTTCAGCTTGATTTTTGTTGATTTTTGAGTATGTTGTAGCTGAGACTATATACTATCAAAATGTTCTCTCATTTTTTTCAGTCTGATGTCATCATGGTCTGTTGATGATAATCATCAACATCATCATGATGATCATCATCATCGTCATCGTCATCGTCATCACCATTACTATCAAGATCATCATCATCATCATCATCATCATGATCATCATTGTTTACATGTCTATATAACTTCTCCCTTTCTCAATATAGTAAATATTATAATCTATCATAAGACTTGAAGACAGACCACCTAATTCGTCCCCATGACGATTTAAATGTCTAGTTAGGTGGTCTGTCAATGACAGATCACCTATTGTTTTCGTCAGAATTTTCTTTCTTTCTTTATTTATTTATTATTATTATTATTTATTTTTATTTATTTCTTCACACTTTTTTGTTCACAGGATAACTCAAGATCGATTCAATCAATTTCCTTCAATTTTGGCACAGTCATAGGCCATTGTCATGAGACGTGACAGTAACATTTTCAAGGTCATCAAATTTTCATGACGTCATCCAGGCGCCATTTTGTGTTTTTTTTGGTACTTTTTACTCATGATCATATCTTCATAACGGAAAGGCATTTCTCATTCATATTCATCATGATTAAGGTCAATATCCGTCCGGTCAATTTCAGGTCAAAAAACGCGCGCGGATGCGTACGTCCGCGCGTCAGCGCGCGCGCAAAAAATAGAAATGCTCCAAATCGTCTTTAATTAATTTTGCATACGTTTCAGGCCATTTCAAGCATTTTTAAAAAAAACGCGCACACGCGGATGGGCGCGCGTTTTCGCGCGTACTGATATTTTGCAACATAGAATCGCTGAATTTTTTCTGTCATCATGTTTGACACATTTTTCCAAGCATTTTGATACCTTGTTCACCTTTTACTGACCAGTAATAACGGAATGAGCGTCCGTTTAAGATAATGTCCGTGCGTGCGAGCTCTCGTAATACATAGCATACATGGGCAAAAACATGCCGATACAAAATCCATTGTAGCGCTTTAGGATGCAAGTTGAACCCAATTTTTTGTCCATATTTTGATAGAGTATGAATTGGAAATATGATTTCATGTCTCATTTGACCCTCAATTAACTCATGACGTCATCATAATGGCCTCCCAACTCAAACTTTCAATTTGCATATTATGACGTCAGCAGATTTCTGGAAAATAGACTGTATCTCTGTCAATATTGATCAATTTTCTTTCAAATTTTGATATGATCTAGCTGAGACAATTCTCTACAAATGCAATTATCACGATATTTCATTTTGACAAAGGTATCATGGCGTATTTTTGCGATTAAAGGAGGCATGTCAATTTTTCACATTTTGCGTGTATTCTCTATGGGACATGACTTTTTCTCAAAACTGGATTCTACATCCTGTCTTTTGCGAGCAATATCTCCGTCGTTTTAGCTTTGTT